TGCAAGCCCTATAAGTGACTGACTTCACTGGAAAAAAATTAATGTGTTTTGCAATTATTAACACTTTTCTAAACACTTTCTTGCTCTCAGTTTGTAAACATGTTTAGAGTACTGATGGATATAATCATTCGCAAATGAACATTGGTTTTTAGGAATTCGACACGTAGTTTCTCGACATTTTACAAAGTGATAGCAAGATTGTGTTTAATGAAACACAGCCGCTGACTAGTGTTATGAAACTAGTAAGACGGGATCAAAAATAATCAATGAAATGCTGAAGTTCCTAAATGTATTCTTGAATTGTCTTAGAATGCAGGATAAATCATCATAGAATTCAATATATATTTGTATACCCCTCGACCCCCTGAGTTATTAAGTATAATAACGTACAGGAGCATAGCATGTCCTATAATTGTCCTATAGACATTATCGGGCCCATCGACCAAGCAAACCCAATCTTATTTTTGGATATATTAATTTTGTTTCCGATTTACGAAGTCGCCAAGTCAGAGTAAAGTATAAATCTTTCAATAAATCTTTAGGGTTGCAGACCAGTAAATCGGTCCGAAATTGAATACGCCGGCCAAATCACGATTTGCATGCCCTCAAAATCTTCAGTATTTGAGGATGCTGTGGGCCATGAACTTGAGGGTTTGTAAAAAATGGGTGGAAGCCGTGCACAGGACTGGGAGCTTGTAGTTCCGTTCAATTTGGATGAAATTGGGGCCCTTAAAGCGCTCTATTTTGCAATGGAGTGTATATAGGCATCGTTTTTCAAAACGGCGATGGGCTTCAGGACTATTTTCAGGGGTGATCATCTTCGGATGGAAATTTCTCCTAAAAGTCATCAGTTGACCCCCCAAAAAATGAACAGAAAATGAAAGATGATGAAATAAGCTTTAATTGGATGTGTGTCTCGAACACCTTGGAGAGTTGTGAGTGTTTTTCCCGAATTTCTGAAGTGGGAGCATTTACCATTGGGGTCTATGGAAGTTTATTTACTGGTCTGCAACCTTAGTATCGACATACAGGCAGTGGAGATTTAGTCATTAGCAAACTGCTTAATGCAAACAAGCCCTCAAAACAGTGTAAAGGACGGTCAGAAATAAGCTGTGGCGAAAGGGTGCACAAACCGTGCTGAACGACTAACAAAGCAAATATCCAGTACCAAAAAGCATGACTAAAATCAGATCTCAAATTTGAAAGATCTCGGTAATTTGGGAATATCCAGAAAACTAGAGGATAAAAAACACCGTTCTCACCTTATGTTCGCAGAATGTGGAACAGTAAACACCTCCGTGTTGTCAAACTCATGAAGATAACTTAAGTATCCATTATGGTTCTTCAGTGTATCGTCCGTATAGGTATAGGTCTATGCATGTTATATGACGGTGCAATACTCTCACTCACCTGTCGCCGTTGCCAGTTTTCCGCACCAGTGCACCTTTTCAGTAGCATGAAAGAAGCTGAACCGCCCCGCAAACTGTACGGTGTCTGTTCTGTCTACGATCGAAGAACTTTCCAGGTCGAGTAGATTGACCATGCACGCACCGCGGCATATCACACCAGTCTTGTTTGCAAGAATGCCTTTCGTGGGTGACGTCGGTTTTTGCTCGGAACAACTTCGTTGACCAATCTGCAATGTTTATCACTTGGATTGGGGTGGGTTTTAGAATCTTGACATCGCTTCATGCAATTTTTTTTTATACAGGACCAAAACCGTGCGAAGGTGATTGGATGGCTGTATTACCTGACATACATGACGTCACGCGTAATCAACCAATCAAATTCGACCACAATCCCAACTGTATCGTTACGTACTTGTCTGAATGGGGCGTACGCATTCTTGCAAAAATCGTCAGTGGCTATAGTTGCTGTCCCAGCATAACGACATATCGAACATAGAAAACCTGGCCACATTTATGATAGAATTACTTCACAAATTTCGAATAATTCAGACGATGCTTTTGTGGGCGTTAGAGACGCAAAGTTGTCTTCAAATAAAAAGGCTCTTTCAGAGGGTTGCAAACAGTCACCTAATCTAGAAAAAAGTAGATATTTCGTGAAAAAAAAACACCACAAATTCGCGGGACAAGCAATATTCGAAGAACTCATGGTTTTGATTCGTGCCTTTTTATGTCTCCCGAAAGAAGCCTGTTGTGGGCGTCTCTTCAAAATGAGGACTATTTGTACATAAATTATTGTCTCGGCGCGGATTTGCCGTTGAAAAGCTAAATGGACGCCCATTGCATCAATTTTCTCCAAATTAATGGAGTCGCCTGGTGCATTAAGTTTAATCATTTACACGAATGCATCCGTTACTGCGCGTTTGAGTACCGTATCCAGCGAAAATTGGCAATAGTACAGTTATAAGGGAGGGGGTTGTACGCTAGATGTAATCGCTTAACGAGGATTTTAGATGAAAGAAGTGTCATCACTTTTGCACGGTCGTTCCTCACATCCAAAAATGAGTATATCCGGTTATCATGGTTGAGTGCAGGGTTGCCCAATGCAAACGAGTTCAGTTCATTAAACCTATGATCTGACGAAAAAGTGCAAGCCAATTAATCATAATAAACAGGTGTTACTAGATCATCCCATATCACAAATGAACAAACAAGCAAATGACTAGCAGAAAACGTCAAATACATTACGAAAAGAAGGTATCTTGTATGAATTTTTGGCTTTTGAGCATTTTGTCTTCGCTTGAAGCAACAAAATTGCTCCAAATCTAAAGTATTATTGCAAAGCAACAAGCCTGCTGATAATCTCAGCTCAGTGGATACTATACTTATCAGAAAACACAGAAAACAATTGTCTTTTTGTCTCGTTTTAGTGGCCGTTACAATCTTTTTAAAATTTATTTATTTCTGGTAATCATCAGAGGGCTCCTCAGAAGCGCCCTAGGCACTGTAGCTCGCAAGCCTGACGAAACCTATAGCTGTACAAATGTATAGAGAGCAGACAATGAGAAAGAAATGCCAGTTTTAGAGGTGGAAGGAAAACCCCAGAAGAATATTCTGGGGGAAAACCTATGGAATCAGGCAGGGACTGAAAACCCACATATTGGCTCAGGCGGGACTCGAACCCGGGTGACAGCGGTGGAAGGCGAGGAAAGTACCGCTATGCCGGCCCTGTTTTGAATTGCACTCTGTGGCGTATACTCAAAATCCTTTAATCAGGAATCGGGACACGATTTTCATTATTTTAGTTGTGCGTCAGATTTGTGATAAATCTGACTGATTTTTGAAGTGCATTTAGTAGAATTTGGCCATGACCTTACGGTGACCCTGTTCCGAACGATCCCATTTCAGGCGAAATAATTTCACATAGTGTTTGGAATTCGCCGTCGGCACTTTGAGCAAGGTTCAGTTCTGATTAAATCGGTAGGCACATCCCCCGGGTTAAATTACTGGTATACCTGCCATGTTTGCATGGACACGTACACAGTTACAATGTATAAAACATGAAATGAAAATCAACGCGACCATGCCGAGTATAAAATGACATCATATCGAGTTAAATTTATTCAACTTCACTTTAACGGTTACAATGAAGGTATAGTGTTGCAGTGTATATTATGCGACCATATTGCTTACATAAAATGCAAACTCGCATTTTATATGCAAAACTGCATTCCGTGTAAATTTTTTTTTATTACGAATACTGATACTGCTGTTGAATATTCTACTGAATCTCACACTATCGAATGAAGAATACCCAAATGCATATAAAAGTGAAAAATTCTACAGTTATCGACAATAAGGAGGCTCGAACTCAAAGTTCATTATATTGCTGACAATTATTGACACAATTCAGCGACTAAGAATATTGAAACCGTCAGTAATTATTTGGGATAAAAAAATAAAAACGGGAACATTAATTGTAAATCCTATGCATGCACTGGGGCTTCGATTGAAATGGGATAATTGGTTTCTAAATAGGTTTCCTGTCACTGTTATTTCGTTATCTCTATTATAAACTGAGTAAAACATATCAATGATCATGCAAATCTCTACAAGCGCATCCTCGACTGATGTCTAGCGCCCTCTAGTGCCACCTTGCATAATAAATTGTTTGTTTTCCAAAACGAGATGGCTGCAAAGAACCAGAAGAGGGCGCTATTAACAACAGTCACCTTTGGCTGTACTTGACATTCGAATTGTATTTAAAAAAAATTTGATGTGACACCCCATTTTGACATTGCAAATGAAGACATACAAAATTGCATATACCTCATAACACGCGGGCGAGATTTTGCGTCCAGTTATCAGAAAAGTATTAGTTGCACTACAATGAGCAGCCAAGTTTAGAGCGCCCTCAACGAGGACAGGCGTTCGTTCCTCTGTGGTCGTTGCAGACCAGTAAATTAGCCACCATATACCCCAGTGGTCCCCCCCCCCCCCCCCCCCCCCCACTTCGAAAATTCGGGGCAATACCCACAACTGTCCAAGACGTCGGAGACACACATCAAATAAAAGCTTATTTCATCATTTTCTGTTATTTTTTTTTTGGGGGGGGGTTAACCAGTGACTTTGGTGGAACTTGAAATTCCATCTAAAGATGATCAACCCTAAAAATAGTCCTGAAGCCCATCGCCATGTTCAAAAATGAGGCCCAATTTCATCCAAAAATTTCACAGAAATACGAGCTCGTAGTTCTGTTCACGGCCGCCCTTCTCCGTTTTGTTACAAACCCTCAAGATCATGGCCCACAAAATGCTCTAATAGCAAAAAAAAAACATCATGCAAATCGTGATTTGGCCGGCGTAGGCAATTTCGGGCCTTATTACTGACCTGCACACTGATATATGTACGAGTACGAGCAGCGCTTTGGACTTTCATTATGTCATAGAATTTAAATAAGCCCTGTCCAAACCAATTGAGGGCGCTCTGTATAAATGGTCTCTCGAGTTGGCACACAACGAGTAGTTTGACAAGAGACAAAGTTTAGATTTACTTAAAATTGTACAAAAATAATACACTGTAATCACTTTCTAATGTCTGAACTTGTCCACGTTACAATTACTGTACAATCACACAATAATTTATTGCTTCGGGTATGGTTATTAATATATAATGACACATATTTACAGTATTCAACATTAATATGAAATCTGTAATACAGAAACGGTGAGACATTCCCGCAGTAGGTTGAAACCTCTTATCATTATATCTTACTAATTTGCATAAAATATGAATATATACGGTTTATCATTACATACATAATTTATGTGGCAATCAAACATGGTACACCAATTTACAAGTTTACGACGGTATATGACGAACGTATGTTTATGTAATAATGCATAGGATTACATGAATAATAGTAATGGTGAATATATTTACATGAATGTACTTAAACTAAACTGCGAAGTGCATTGACCGTTATGGGACAAAAAGTCGATTCTTGTTAGAATTGGAACAGGAATGTATGGAAACGGACATTTTTTTCTGCTGCCACAACTTGAATTTACCTCCAATCATAATTTGTAAAATTATTAATTACCGAGTATGATATGTGAGGGAGACATTCCCGTAGGGTTGTGCACAATTTTTTTTTCAAACTCTCATGACCCCTAACCACTATTTTACCTGCTCATACCACCACGAATTTTGGTACATTTATGCTTCGGACCGCGAGCAATCGATCTAGCCTATTTGCGACGGTAACATTTTGCCTCTAAATAGGAATGTGACATTAGGGAGACATTGAAATGTCTCCTTAATCTACTTTGTCTCCCTAAGGTATGACTTATGACGAAAAAGTGACTCCTATTTATGGGCACATTTACAGGAATTAGGAATACAAAATGTAATTGGGATTTGCCCTTCACCGACGTAGTTTCATCAGTGTACTGTATAGTAAAGGCAAAGCTAAATGTTGATTATTTTCCCCGCAAAAAATCCATCATATAAAATACTATTTTAGTTTAATAAATTGCGATTAAATTGTTTGTTTCCACGTTTTGATATTTCCCTACGTTGCTCCTTTAATACTTCATGTACTGTTTTAAAATCTCAACAAAAGCAACCGAAAGATGGACTCTATGAAATACGGCCTCCAGTTGCATTGCGCATGCCTATTGAAGATAATAAGGACATGACAGGTCACGTGGGAGGGAAAGAATCCATATAAGGTATAAAATGAGACCAGTTTTCACCGGAGTCTGAATTTCATACGACACCGCACTCCAGAACTCTTGTCTAGTAGAGCTGCCACAGTGCTGTCTCAGTATGTCCTCAACATTTACCACATGATGTGAACATGTCGACATTAGACGTAGCATAGCTTTAAACACCACTTACAGTCATAGGCCGTGTCCGAATAACTTGGCTGTGGCTTGAAATTACACACGGGTCTATGAGAAGTTGCTGCAGCCGCTGCCATAGCCACGCGTGTAATTCCAGCCGCAGACACAGCCTGAGGCTGTGGTAACTGTCCGGATGCTTGGTACAGCGCCCCCAACGTTACAGTGTGTTTGCTCAATGCAAGCATCTTCCCTAGCCCTCTGTCGACACCTTTTCATTTTGACTCTACTTCTATTTTCCCCCGAGTCGTTGATAACCAAGCTTAATAGCGTTCCAATCAGTTTGATGACAGCGCTTCGAACAGGGCCGGCCAGCACTTTCTGAGAATTTGACGAACTTGTCAAGAAATGCATTTGTAGGCCTAGAGCCGTATCTGAGTTTTTCCCCGGTAGGGCAATCACACATTCCACTGTTTTACATTTTGAACTGGAATTTCAGTAATGGATAGCTTGCATCGCCTAAGATCAATTGTGAGCCAAAAATAAAAGCATGTGATCCTGCGTCATATCAGTATCACGTCTCGTTTTCGACACTGGGCCCTTGTAGCCTAAAAGTCCCCCGGCCGCCTGGTGGCGCGCTTCAGGAAACCTGGAATATTAACGTGCACAGATGCTAGTTTTTGGTTCATTGGTTTCTTAAGAAAATCACCCTCGATAAAGGCCTTTGGAAAATTGTTACTGTAACTGGCATCTCAATTTATGGAAGCTGAAAAATCGACTGACGTGAAAGAGAAATTTCGTGCCAAAAATTGACCTCTCACTTCCGAAAATCTAAAATACGTATTGACTAGTGGAACTCGGTGTACTCGTACAATGATGACAATTTATAAAATAATTTTGTGGCGGTCATTGGGGAAAACTGAAAATTGGAATAAACTGGAAGGACTCATAATCATTCACATAATACAATCTAACCGCAGAAAAGGACTGCAAACAAGCCAGCCTGACTTAGTCTAGAACCCATCGGCTCTATAGGTAAATGTTTGCGTTACACATTTTCGTTCTCATTTTCCGTATAATGGAATATTTCAAGTCCTGTAAATCATCACAAGTTGAGGTAATAAGAAATGGCAATACCTCATGCCGGAGGACACCCCCTACCGGTGGAATTTCGACTAATGATTAAAAAATCAACAGGTCGTCTTTCACGTTGACTGGCAGTCCTATTAGGCTCAAGGTCTTCCCAGGAAACTCCCTGACCACAGAAATAAAGCAAGTCACATAAATATCCGTTCGAGTGATTATTGTTTGGAGATACATCTGACTATCTTTTATACTTGCATTAAACATGTGTGTATGTACACCAGTGTTGTTGCCGAGTACATTGCCATGATTACGAGTACGAGTACGCGTACTTTGCCATAAGTACGAGTACAAGGATTTTTTCCCACGAGTACGAGTACAAGTATGAGTATGTTCCACAAGTACCACGTGCTATCAATGTTTGTTTTGTTTGTAATCAAACTAGGCATTAAGCAAATGCAGAAGCCTCACAGACAGTACAAAACTGGTTCTTTTCCTGCATGTAGCTCTTAAAGGTTTTTTAGCGGGAGGATATTTGCAACAGTACGAGTACTTTGCCATATGAGTACGAGTACGGGTATCTTGCGAGTACGAGTGTACGAGTACATTTTCATGAGTAGGGGTACGAGTACCAGTACGGGTACGAGTACCAAAACAATGTACGTGAGTATGAGTACGACTACGAGTACGAGTCCTTCACTGATTTCAATTTGCAACCAAGATCAATTGCTAAATGGTTTTGTCTAGATTCTGAGCTACAAGCCAGGCTATTTTGCGCGTCTATAGGTAATACCATGAAAAAAATAAGGGTCTAACAAAGCAAGGATAAAATGAGGCCGCTTTCAAAAATTAACTAGCCCAAAGGAATGTCTGAATCCGCAGATGTTTTAAGGACATGTGGAATTACCTCCAGTGAACCAGTAGGGGGTAACTGAAGGTTCAATAGTGTTCGCAAATTGAGCAAAAAGGGCCCAAGTCTGTGAACAATGAAGTTGTAGTAAGCTGATTTCTCCAAGACCTTGCATTCATCCGTTGAAAAAAATGCTGTCCCTGACATATTTCATTGGAGCTGAGATTGCAGGAACATGTATTCCACTTAATTAATAAAAGAAAGGTAAGAATTATGATTTAAGAAAAAAATGGGACAGAAGTAAGAAAAATACAAAACCTGATTCGTACTTTTGGTCCCATGTCGAGTAATCAAAAACAACGAATGATTTTATCGGAGTGTTGCACAATGAGGTATTAACAGTGAAAACATATCCCGTTGGAATATATTTCATAATATTATCCCTTAAGTATAAGAAATATTTTAATGAATCAATTGTAAGATATATGCGCTGTTGAAGACTGAGAAATTGCATTAAATTTTGGAACCTTTGATTTTGACAATATTCTCAATACTCCATGCGTATGTTCCATTGCGGGAAAGACCATCGGAAGCTTTATTTTCCCCTGTGGTCTTAAATTCTCCCAACGTGTATCTTACTCATGCTTCGGTCGTTTGTGTCCTGACACCAACTACACGCTCTCAGTTGTTAGGCCCCTCGCAGTCCAGGTTCTTGTTGTAGATGTAATTGTTGAATTCGGCTTTCCAATCCACCATGTATTTCGTGCTCCACTGGTGGAACTCCTCTTTCCATTTCATCTCGGCTTCGTTTATGTCAGCTGTTTGAGAGAATTCAAAAGCCAAAAATTGAAAACAATTTCAACTTGGAATTGGTTTATATTATATCTGCTGCCAATCACGTCTTACGGTTGCATAAAATGGACTTCCATAGACCTCAGTGCTACTTACGGGCACTTCCCAAAATTATTAAAATACTCACAACTCTCCAAGGTGTTCGAGACACACATCAAATTAAAGCTTATTTCATCACCTTCATATTCCGTTCATTTTTGGAGGAATTAACCAATGACTTTGGGAGAAAATTCCATCCAAAGATGATCACCCATAAAAGCAGTCCTGAAGCCCATCGCCAATTTAAAAATGGACGCCTACGCTCCATTGCAAAATAGAGCTATTATAGGGCCTAATTCCATCAAAATGTCACAAAAATACGAGCTCCCAGTCCTCTGCACGGCTTCCACTCTTCTTTTTTTTTTAACAAATCCTCAAGTTCACGGCCCTCAAAATGCTCTAATATCGGAGAATTTGAGGGCAAGCAAATCGTGATTTGGCCGACGTAGGTACTTTCGGGCCTATTTATAGGTCTGCACCCTTACAAGTATACCCTTGCGGCAGCCCATAAAACAAAATGGCGCACAACGTTTACAAACGCAAGAAAGGTCTACGTCACGTCAGACGATTTATTATATTAACCCAACAAGATAATCAAATTAGTGCAGGGACGCGACAGAATTAAAAAGAGCTGTCAAGTAACAAGGCTAAAAAAATGTGCCGTATACAGTACACACTGATTAATTAACTAGCCTCATGGCCTTGTTTTACCCAAGTACTAGCCCACTGGTTAGGATTTCTGTCGCCACCTTTTACGCCATGTGATCAAGAGCTGATGATAATTAGTCTGGCACCCGGGTCCTCGGGCATTGTGAGACGCGGGCACAAGGATGCTTGGGTGCCGCGACAGATTGTATTTCTGTGTCAAGTGCGGCGAAAGGTAAATAAATCTAGTGTCTCGACTTTTCCCGCGGCTCGAAACATTGCATACATAAACTTGCACGCTGTACCTGAGAGTCGCGTGGTTGAACGATCGCATTTACATAATGAATTTTACCGGTGAAAAATGTCTGCTAATGATTCGGACATGGGCAATTTTACTCCCTGCGGGCCTTGTATCTTTATACACGGTATTAATGGCTCCCATGTGATCTTGTATTCTGATGCAGTCATCTACCTGGGTTTTAATGGTTTCGATCTAACTAACGTTATTTTATCGACTGGCGTTGTTCTTTTTTCTTCTTCTTTTTTTGGCAACATATACTTTACCGACCTCTGGAGCAAAGTGGTTTTTTTTATAAATCGAACATCCACTTTAAATTCATTTGCATTCTGATCCTTAGAGTAACTGTCTTTTGTCATTTAATCCACGCTGGCTTGTCCATTAATCGAACATTAATTTTGTGTATCAGAGAAAGCCACTTTAAAATAACATCCTTTCTGACCCTAAACATGGGCATGTGTGTCACCATAACACTGCTATAGACTAATTAATTAATCACTGGGGAAAAAACAATGAAATTACATTTTTTTCCGGATCAAAATGACACTTCTCTAGTTCATTATCAGGGTCATTTTGAATCGGATACCTCAGCAAAATTGTCATTTTTCGATTTTCTTTTGAAATTGTCGAAATTGTCATTTGAGCGCAGAGGTAAAAAGGTCACGGTGTTCGACTAATGTACCGTGGTATGTGGGTTCGAACCCTGACAGGGAACAGGGCGCTTGTGTTCTTGGGCAAGACACTCTACTACAATTGCCTCTCTCCACCCAGGAGTATAAATGGGTAACTGTGAGGGTAGAGAATAGAATGCGCTGATCCGGCGCTGCTGCAAAAAAAACTGGTCTCATTGCCTGATGAACTGGGGTACTGTTATTGTTGAAGCGCTGTGAGACCCTTGGTATAAAGCGCTATAAGCACCACATTATTATTATATTATTATTTTGACCAACAAAGTGTTATTTTCATAATGAATAAATGAGAAAGAGTCTAACCGGTTTGTGCATCCAGTCTCGGTAGGTAGTCCTTCCAGAAGGCGCACTGCGATGCCTTGTCATACTCTGTAACTAACGGATCGTCTATCGTGGTCGTGTCCAGGATGTACTGCATCGGCGAGTCGAGCTGGAAGGCCGGCCAACCCTCGGCAAGCTCGTCCGGGTCGTTCGGGTGCCCCGTATTCGGATTCCTAACAAGGCAGTGGATATGCAAGAAATAGTTAACTCACGGCATTGGATCGTTCATTGCACCGCAAATTTGTGATAGATAATTTCATATCTCAACCAGCCAAAGGACGTGCACAGGCAGAGATGGTAATCGTTTTTATTTAGCAGTTTGCCCAGAAATCATGGCAGCATCGAGCGTATACTACCCAGGAGCTGAGATGGTTTTCGGGCCCGATGATCAGAAGTAATAATGATGTAGCCTTAAGCACCAACATTGGTGGACATGTGCGCTTTACAAAACACTCTATAAAAATATTATTGAACACGAACCTACCCTCAACTACGACGAGGGGGCCTACATACTGAATAATGTCTCTGATCAACTCATCCACACCACGCCGGGAGCTTCAAGCAGCTATAAAGGGACGGTGTCGAGTGAAACGTCAACAGCTTAGCAGTGAAACTTCACCAATTTGTGAGTACATGTAACATCTTCACTAATTTCGTATTAGATTTGTCAAAAAGAACCTTCATAAATATTCTGACAAGCAATCCAGATGAACTTATTCGAAAACGAACCTACCCTGTTTTTGCAAAGTTGCTCCAAAGTCGGATCATCTTTCGGCTGAGTGCGATGTCTTCTTCCGAGAAGCCGTTACTCGGATGCAACGGCTGCCCGAAGGCGTAGGCAATCTCGTCCCCGTGCATGACTCCCATCCACTCGCCCCACGGGTTATTGGAGGGCCGCCGACGGAATCTGTAGAGGTAGGCGTTGTTCCTGCCTGCCGTGTGAGCCCGAGCTGTCTCGTAGATGGGACAGGCGATTTTGAAGTCGGTGACAAATGCCTCCGCGGCGTCCCGGAGTTTGTACGGGTCGTCGGGCGCCAGCCAGTCCGTGTACTGGAATTTGATGGCGCTCCGGGCAAACTTGTTCAGGGGGTTGAAGACCTCCGCGATCGTTTGGTTGAAAAGACTTTGGTTGATCGGGCTGTCTGTGTCTTTGTCGAAACCGGTTAGGTAGTAGATCATGAAGGAAGCGCCTTCGTTCGTGTTGGAACCTAACATGATATCCGTTTGCTTGACTGCGTGGCGTTCGAAAGCCGACTGCGGAGTCTCACTAAGGAAGATGCCGTCCACAACGGGCACGAAGGGAAAGACGTAGACGCCACTCTCCGGAAACTCGTTCTCCAACGTCTCATTCGGGTCCTTGGTTCGCAGGCAAGCCATAATCTGAGCATCCGAGAAGGGGGTACCGTCCGCGTATTCCACACAGTTGAGATTCCGAGCGAATATCATAGCCCTCCTTCTGGCCTCTTCGTTCGTGACGACCGCCCATGGGCAGAGAGGCGTCCCGCTCTGCATGATCGCCCGGGTGAAGAGGGGCGACGTCATGCGGGACTGGAGATGATACCCAACGCTTACCGCACCGGCACTCTCGCCAAATATCGTCACTCTGTCCGGATCCCCGTAGAAATACTCGATATTGTCTTGGACCCACTGCAGAGCAATAGCCTGATCCAGGAGCCCCATGTTCCCAGGTACCTCAGGGGTTCCCATAGATAAGAACCCGTAAGATCCCACTCTATAGTTCATCGAGACCACGACGACACCTTGCGTTGCGGCTAAGGTGCTACCATCGTAAACTGGCAAAGTCGCCACCCCACCGTAAAAACCACCACCGAATATCCAAACCATAACTGCCAGGCGTTCAGCCGTCGGCCGCGGTGACGGTACCCATACGTTTAAGTAAAGACAATCCTCCCGCATGGGTAACTTTGTGTTCCACATCTCGGCACCTGTAAAGTTTGGGTACGCGGTGTCCAAGACTTGCACGCAAGAGGCGCCATAAGCGGAAGCGTTCTTGATTTCAGGTCTCCATGATTCCATGGGTTCTGGGGGTTTATACCGTCGACTTCCCACTGGTGGCCTGGCGAAGGGGATCCCTAGGAAGGCTACGACGTCCTGGTTGTCTATGACGTGCTTCCGCACTCCTAGGACCTGTCCGTATATGGTATCGATTAGTTGTTCTGTGTGGACGGCCGCTTGGGATTTGGCGACGAGCGTTAGAAGCGCCATGCTTGCAAGCAGTAGTCTTGGAATGTGGCACATGCCCATATTGAGAGCCATCGTAACGAGCTGTGGTCGGAAAATGTGCATCTGGAAATCAGAATAAAACATTGCTTTAGTTCCCAAAAGGTTGAAGAAACTACGAGGGTAACGCACTCTGTGACTTATGTGAGTTGACCGTCAATCTTGTTGTAATCAAACAGGTGTACTTAGGACTGAATAAGAAAAAGTTGTAATACAGCCATCAAAAATTCTCAGGAATCAGATATTCGGCTGAAAGTTATCGACCATTTTGTGCTCACTGTGCCGCGAAAATGGCGATCAGAAAAATCACAGTCGTCATGGGCCTCATGCACGAGTCGGCCATATTAAATTGCCCTCTTTTTGAAGATTTGGATTCTAGACGCTCACAAATTTATTCTGAGCAAAAGATCATCATTTAAACATCATTTTCGAGTTTAAAGTCATTGAATCGGCTATTCTGAGCTATAAAATACATTCTAGGCTACAGTTTTTATTCGGGGACGCAAAAAGTGCACTAAGGGGGGGGGGGGGGGGACAGAGATATGATATGCCCCCTGTAAAAGGGAGGGGGTGTTATAACCACCCCCTCCCCCCGTCCCCACCGATTGACGCCCATGATACTATTTGTGTTAGTTTATTTAGCTAGGACAGCACCAAGGGATATGCCTAAAATTATACTACATGAACCCTTGAAAGGGGTCACTTCAAGTAGGCTTAAACGGTACATGTATAGGCCTAGGCTTACACGTACTTGTATGGAAACACAAAGGTGAACTGTACATGTGGGTTAAAAAAAAACTGTTAATGCATAATTTTTACAACACACAGCGCGAAATTAGCATGTCTAAATGCTCCAGTGACAATTATAATGCTCACACACGACACGTACACACAGGTCTGTTTATGGTGTAAATCGAGGATTTCTTGTTCCTTATCATCGATCTTTTGTTTATACTCTCTACACTTTTTCTAATCGAGGTCGTCCTCGATATGACTCCTGTTCTCAATCGGATGCTTCATCTGTGTCCTCGATTAAACAAACGGTAGCCATCCAGTATGTACATGTACCGATAGTACATGTACGTGTACATGTACGTGTACATGTACATGTACACTGTACATGTATAAGCATTGAGTGAGTGATACACTGATATAATACTGTATAGGCCATCACAGCATCACAACCAAAACTACTCTAAATGCTGCAATAATCTAGTGTGAAAATACAAACCATTTGCGTATGATTTCTTATCGGAGAAACCATTCCTACCGTCATATTGACGATGGTGTATAAGCGCAATATCCGTAACAATATGCCTACAACTTGTGCACGGCTGCAACCACGACACTGTCCACTCCGCCATGTTTACAACGCGTGACCTTGGACGGTATGAATATGTATGAGATATGAATTTGTAAAGATCCCGTGTAAATAATTTATGAATCACAGGGCTGCATACAGTAGCTCGAAGCAAAATCGGCGCCACCGTTTTATTGTCGCTACTGGCAATTTAATGCATGCACGGATGAACACAAGGAATTGTTAAATTAATCAAGTAATAAAATTAGGGAAACATTTTCCTAAATGATAATCTTTCATTTTTAAGATGAATTTTCTGTCCAAATATGAATGAGATGACATTATCAAATAAGTGAGTTCACATATTTTCAAGTGACATCATCAACTAGGCCTCAATTGTTCATGTTGTTCTGAGGGCCTCACCAGTATCCTAGTACCCGGAGCCTAACCCTAACCTATGTAACCTAACCCCTAAACCTAACACTATAACTCTAACCCTAATGTCTGCAATAGAAAGCAGGAGGTCGTGGCTTCGAATCCCACCCGAGTGATTTTTGTCCAACTTCACTTGGGAGGTAACACACTGAGTATATACGTCGGTGGAGGGCAAAACCTAAAATTGATTTACATCACCCGATGCAAAAATTCCATCTTATGAATGGACTAACCCTAACTCCAACACGTACTTACCCTTTCCCATCCCTTACCCTAACCCTAACCCTGTAAAATATTTCTAGATTTGAAAAAGAAATACACGACTTCAACTCATTCCCAGCGTAAAACTCGACCCAGAATTTTGGTTGTCTTTTCACCTTTCCCGTTTATTAACCGAGCAGACAAACGAAAACCGCGTCGAATGACGCGTGGCCTGCATCCGTGATAAATTAAACGCATTTATGACGTCATTTATGGCGGCAAATCAAACCCAGCCTTCCAATGCGACTTGGCGCCTTTCGGCACAAACAAGGCGATCCCATGAAACTCCCGCGATAAAATTGGATCATAAAATACAAGGTTATGTTCCTGTTTAACACTTGAATTCAGGGCAAAGAGTTAATCTGGTACAGGCAGTAGCCATGTACTGACTTATTTCGGTACAGATATTTCCGCTGAGACGGTCATAAATTTGAAGGTTTTTAATTAAGAAAATAATATGTATTTATTGATGTAGTTAACTTCATGTGAACAAAGTCTGTGATACCATGAGTAAACGTCTGGGGGCCAGATACCCCTTTGCCATTTAAAAAAAATTCATCAACCGTATCAAAGTGGTGCTACGGTATTACTATGGTGTTGATAATGGTGATGTATTGATGGTGCTAATGGTGATGTGTTGATGGTGATAATGGTGATATGTTGATGGTGATTTGTGATGGCGATAATATGTGCGGAGAGTGATAATCATTTTAAATGGTGATGTGTTGATGGTGATAATGGTGATGTGTTGATGTTGATAATGGTGATATGTTGATGGTGGGAATGGTGATGTGTTAATGGTGATGCGTTGATGGTGATTTTGGTGATGTGTTGATGGTAATATTGGTGATGTGTTGATAATGATATTGGTGATGTGTTGATTGTGATAATGGTGATGTGTCGATGGTGATAATGGTGATGTGTTGATGTTGATAATGGTGACATGTTGATAATGATATTGGTGATGTGTTGATGGTGATAATGGTGATGTGTTGATTGTGATAATGGTGATGTGTTGATAATGATATTGGTGATGTGTTGATAGTGATAATGGTGATGTGTTGATGGTGATAATGGTGATGTGTCGATGGTGATAATGGTGATGTGTTAATTGATGGTGATAATGGTAATGTGTTGATGGTGATAATGGTGATGTGTTGATGGAGATAATGGTGAAATGTTGATAATGATAATGGTGATGTGTTGATGGTGAGAATGGTGATGTGTTAATGGTGATGCGTTGATGGTGATATTGGTGATGTGTTGATGGTGATATTGGTGATGTGTTGATGTTGATGGTGATGTGTTGATGTTGATAATGGTGACATGTTGATAATGATATTGGTGATGTGTTGATGGTGATAATGGTGACGTGTTGATGGTGATATTGGTGATGTGTTGATGGTCATAATGGTGATGTGTTGATAGTAATAATGGTGATGCGTTGATGGTGCTAATGGTGATGTGTTGATGGTGATGATGGTAATGTTGATGGTGATAATGGTGACGTGTTGATGGTGATATGATGATGTGTTGATGATGATGATAATTGTGATGTGTTGATGGTGATATTAGTGATGTGTTGATGATGATTATAATGGTGATGTGTTGATAGTAATAATGATGATGTGTTGATATTGATAATGGTGATATATTGATAGTGATAATGGTGATGTGTTGATGGTGGTATTGGTGATATGTTGATGGTGATAATGGTAATTTGGGGGTAAACATATAAAGACACAATAGCCGGTAGATTGCAAATATGTGGATGACATTAAAAGTGATGAACAGGCCCTGAACTGCACATCTCAGCTGTCGCCTTCCTAAACTGACAAGACGGAGCATAATCACAAGACAGTCCCTGGATGTGTATCGTCTTTCCCGTGCCTGTCTCATCCAATTAGGATAAAACACCTCAAGTACCGAGAGGGTGCTCCGCAACGCAATCGAATACGACACCAATTTGTTAAGCTGATATATTCAACGAGGAGACAGTGATATACTGGGTGACTCCCGACTGTTTGTTTGTCTGTTCATCTATAGGTATGAGACGAATGTAGGAATAGACAAATTGCCTCCAAGGACATCTTGAGTAAAGTTTTAACCATGGAAGTTATAAAGCTTCGGTTTAATCGCAAGTGCGAGGTTTTTGTACTTTATGTCGACCATGTATAGGCCCCCTACCATTATATCCGATTCAACCATTAAACTATATTATGGGGGAAAATAAGCAAACAAACAAACACCAACACAAACACACAACCTCACGGATGGGGTTTATGAAGTATACTTGCATATCTAGATCTTTCCTCCATCTTGAGCACAATTTTTGTCATGGAAGTCATAAAGTTTCAGTTTAATCGCAAGGACGAGGTTTTCAAAATGACCTGTAACTTTATGACGACCACGTATATATAAATCCGATTAACAAACCATTACACTATATTATGGAACAAATAAATATATAAGCAGACAGACAAACACCCACACAAACACACCCACGTATGGATGCGGGTACTTGCATTTTTCTCCCTTAAAATTAATATCCCTCTTCTTCAGAATTTCTCTTCTAGCTGGGGCACCATTTTACAAAGACCGACTTACTATAGGGTACCACTCTTCCCTTTGTGCGAGCAGGCCTACCGGTACCCCACAAGGTAGATCTCGTGTAAACACACCAACCCAAACCCACCTAAAAACTTGTGAGTGTGAAATTTGCTAAGGTAAAACTTATATAGGTTATCATTAATTGTCTGTGTTTGAGTCTGTTGAGTTTTGGAGACCTTGGCTATTATGGAGTAAACGTTTGATAAACACATTATGATGTACGTTTCTAAACAATCTGAACAAATCAGATATTTACTGATAACGTCGGGACAATTCTTTTGCTTCCATTTTGTGACAAATGTCCAAGTGTTCTGCTTTAGAACAGCACAGGGAACCTGAATACAGCTGCTGAAATTGATAGCTCACTAACTGGATTGAGGCTGAAACACAAATCAACACAGTCACTACTGAGCCTGACGTTTCGATTAGTAGTATAAGACGGATATTAATATGCAACGAA